CGCCCGCCTATCGATGCATGTGCCCAAATTGTAAAAAAAAGGCGAGGTTGTTTTTTCCTCTCAAATTTGCTTTCGCCTTTTTTTTTAGGGCAAAACGTTTTTAATAAAACTTTGTTAACACCGTTAGCTAACGGATTTGACGACGAATGTTAATTAGGGATGAAAGTTGAAGTGAGTGTCAAAATAAAACGAAGAAAATTTCAAGGCATTAAAAAGGAACGACTCATTTTCCCAAGTGTCAAATAAGAAATTCTCTAAAAAAAAATCTCCTTGACTATTTGGCTTCTCGTCTACTCCCTCCGTCCCAATTTAATTACACATCTGGAATTCAAAAAATTTCCCATATTAATCGATCACACAGCGGACAGATGTAGGTACAGGCCCACAGTCTTGACAGAGCCCGGAGGTAACAGAATTAAAAAAACCGTGAAACAGATCTTGCGGGTCTTCCTGTCCACTCGTTTATTGATTTGTCAATTAAAAAAAAGGAAAAACGGACGTCGAGCCTTATCTTATCCCTCCGTCTAGATGGTTCTCATGGAGTCTACGAACTCATCGCATAGCCGCTAGACCTGTTCATCTTCCCGTCCCCTTGCACTCCAAGCACAGGAAGCCCGGTCCTTCCCTTTCCTTCTCTTCCAGAGATACGGATCCAAGTCTCAGCTCCGGCCGGTGGGAGCCCCGGCCTAGCCGCCACGGGCAACACGAGCTCGTCCACAGGGTCACGAGAATAGGGGCTTGGCGTGGACACGGACGCCGGCGCAGCCGAGGCGAGACTGGTGCTCGACGCACAAGCTCGTCCCCGTCGAGAGCCACCGCAACACAGCGGGTGCGCGCGGGCGGCACGAGCTGGTCCCCGTCGGCGTGGAAGACGGTGGCGGGGCCTGACCGCCGTTGCGGCCGGAGCACGCTCGCGAGGAGGTGCTGAGGTGGCGGCAGCGAGCGCCCGAGGTCGGCCGCGGCTGTAGTGTCGTGTGTCGGGCGAGCTCGAATGAGGCGGCAGCTTGCTCTTGGCTGTCCGTGGGCGAGGACGATGAGGTAGCGACGGGACGCAGCCTGGAACCTTCGAAAGGTTGAGTTCGGGAACCTGCAGAGGGCGCTCCAAATTCCAAGTTTTTTTACTTTTTCTCTATTACATCAATTTATGCATGCATAGAGTATTAAATGTAGGTAAAAAAATAACTAATTACATAGTTTGGTTGTAAATTACGAGATGAATTTTTTGAGCCTAGTTAGTCCATGATCAGATAAAGTTTGTCAAATACAAATGAAACGTGCTACATTATCCAGGTTATAAAAATTTGCAATCTAAACGAGACCTAAGAAATTGGAAATCAGACTGAACTTTCTAGGGGTATTATTGTAATTTTACATGTGTCCTTGGTATTCATGTCTGCGCCCAGATGTGTAAATAAAATAGGACGGAGGGAGTACGTCTCATGCACCCGCATATACCGCGGTGCAGGTGCTGCTGCGCGCCTGCGACCATGCAGCTTTGCTGCAGCTTTGATTAATGATCATGGCCGCGTTTAGTTTGCTGCCGATTCGGCATTTGCACAGTGTTCAATGTGACGCCGAACATTGTAGCAATTCGTTTGTATTTGTAAATTATTGTCTAAATATTAACTAATTAGGTTTAAAATATTCGTCTCGCAAAGTTCAACTAAACTGTGCAAATAGTTTTTGATTTCATCTACATTTAGTACTTTATATATGTACCATAAGTTTAATATGACGGAGAATCTTCTTTTTATATAGTGCTAAATTTTGAATTTTGATGGAACTAAACATGGCCATGACGCGCGATGGTAAGCGGTGGAGGGCAAGTGCATGCAGCTTTGCTGCTGGTGCAGTGCTTTGTTGCAGGTGCAGTGACTGCTTTGCTACATGACGAGACGAGACAGGCCATCTCTCGCTCTCCAGTGTACTCCTGCTCCTAGCACTACTATTTGATTAGTGCGTTATCGATGGAATGGAGGAGGCTAAGGCCTTGTTTAGTTTCGTAAAATTTGAAAATTTGACTACCGTATTATTTTTGTTTTTATTTGGTAATTAGTGTTTAATTATGGATTAATTAGGCTTAAAACGATCGTCTCGCGATTTTCTATCAAACTGTATAATTAGTTTTTTTTATCTACATTTAATGTTCCATACACATATCGTAAGATTCGATTTGATGGCTACTGTAACCATTTTTGGAAAAAAAATTTAAACTAAACAAGACCTAATCCACTCCCGTTCTCGAAAACACAAGCAGCAGAAACAGCAGCATGCAGCTGATCGATGGACGTGCTCTCATTTTGCTCAGGACATGCATGAAAGAACGAGGCAGACATCGCATACGACGGCATCTGCATCTCCATCTCTCTCGGGCCGGCCAAGTCTTCCATGGAATTAATGGTAGTACGTCCAGCCACCTGCCTCGGGAACCGCTTGGGCGGGCTTCCGCGTGCCGCAGCAGGCTGCAGCTGCAGGCAGCATGACCGCGTTCTCTTCTCCGCGTGCAAGCCCAACAGCTGAAAGCCAGCCAGTCACGGACTCACAGTGCGAGGACAAGCGTCCCGAGGGAGGGGGACGCATGCAGCAGCCGCACGCCGCAGTCTGCTTTCCGCCTGGCGCCCGTGTCGCCCGCACCCATCCGCGCGGGTGCGTGCACGTCCGCGCCGAGATCTATGGCGGCGTTGAGCTCGACGTGGCGCCGAGCTCGACGTCATGTCAAGGTACCTGGTTCACGACGCCGAGCTATGCCACGTCGGAGCCACATCAGCGTTACGTTATGATCAGGTCTTCGATCTCGACGTTAATATCTGTGGCGTCGAGACGTGTTACATCAGCGTCATGAGTCCTGGTGCCGATTTAAAAGTCTAAAGATGAGTTTAAGTCTTCTAGAAAGTCAAACGTAATTTTTTTTTAAAAAAAAATTAAATTATAAAAAATTAGGGACATGTTACAGGCCCTGCTGCACTACGCTCGCTGCCGCCGGAGGCGGTGGCAGCGGCGCACGGCGGGAGGAAGAGGCGGCGGCGAAGGCCGTGCTGGCCCAGGACCTGCTCATGGCCGTGGACCGGTACGGCCTCCGGGGCCTCAAGTCGCTCACAGAGAGGGAGCTGTGCAGGCATAAGGTCGGCGTGGACACGGTGCTGCCGATGCTGGCACCGGCGGTGACGGAGCACCACAAGTGCTGGAAGCTCAAGAACAAGTGCCTCGAGTTCATCGCGTCCGGGACGAACGCGAGGGCGGTTATGGCGACCGACAATGTCGAGCACCTGGCGAGGAGCTGCCCCTCTGCTGTGAAGGAACTCGTCAAGATTTTGGAGGCCAAGGAGAGGCGACGCCGAGCCGTCTTCCTCTGACGGACAGCGCAGATGCCTTATTTTTCTTCTTCCTAGCTTTGGCCTCCATCTTGGGCTGCATCTTGACCTTGGGAATGTGGGGGTTTTTTGAACAAAAATAAAGATATATGATGTGGTGATCAAATTCTTATAAAGCTTATAAATGCACGACATTTTTAGGAAGCTTGTGTGAAAGCAATTTTTTTTGTAACTCCGTTTTTTTTTATAGAAAAATAGGATTCCAACATCATACCAAGACAAACCATTCAGAATTTGATCAAACTTATATATTTATATATATTACTAAAAAACATAATAAATGCTAAAATGGAATAGACATAAACTTGCTAAACCTCCAATCATGTGAAGCGCGAAGATATCCAAAGTTTTTTTTTCAACAATGCACGGCAACTCTAATGCAGAAGACCTCATTCTTCCTCCCTCTTGCAAAGGTAACTAAAACCTCATCCCATATGTTGCCCCCATTATAATACTTGCATATATGATTGATTTTTTATTTTTTATAAAACATAATGATGTTTCGACTAAGTTACATTGCTCAACATAGAGCACTAACTCCTAAGATTTGAACGTTCAATTTTGAGTCTTCTTCATGCTATTTCTGTTCCATGAGGAATAATGTAACCTAGGTTTCGACTAAGTCAAAAAATATTTAAATTTAATTAGATTTATAAAAAAATAGCATTGATATTTGTCATAAATAGGTTTATTATCAAAATATTGCATGATTAATCTAATAGACCAAAGTAAAGTGTTCAATTTGTATTATTATATGTAAACAAATAATCAAACCTTTGTTAAATCCAATAGCAGTGTCAACTTGTCAAGGAAGACGAGTCCTGATTGTTTTGGGCCGTAATCGTAAGGACGATGGGTTGTCAACTTGTCCCGATTGTTTTGGGCCGTAATCTCTAATCTGTGTAACAGACAATACACCTATGAAACAATGGGTTTTCAAATCACCTCAAAACAGTAAAAAAAAATTATAAATATTTGTTCAATAATTTCTAAATGTTGGAACACCGGACCATACACTTCATATATATAGGGTAATAATATTAAAATAACAAAAGAGATTCAATGTGACATCAAGTGAGAGAAAAATGATCAGGATCACACATCACAGGCTTATATGCCCTCTTACAATGGCTTAGAGAAGGTAAAACGATGCAAGCTCTCAAAGTTACTATAGGAGCCAGAGATCGACTAACAAAATGGAACTTAAGACCCCAGATCAATAGATCAAGTTCACAGGACTAGTAAAGTAAAGATGAGGAGCTCTGTTTCGCTGCCCTATTTTGCAATGGTTTTGTCAACAGAAACGGGCATTCAAAGTTACTACAGCAGGAACCACAGAAATAAGCAAAACGATGCTTATTAGAGCCTAGATTATTGTGTTCATATATAGTACTAGATGTAGTTATCAAACATGAGCTCCACACATCACTATGAAAAACAGCCACGTAATCAGTCTACAAAACAGAAGGATGCTGCATTGCACTCCTTAGAGCATGAACCACCAAAACTCCAATATCATTTTGACAGCATCAACAGCCTTCAACCCCTGCCAAATAGTCATCCGAAGGTTCAGTTCAAGCAGGGCAGCAAGTAGGAGATTAAGCAGAAACAAAGATCAGCAGTATTACCTTACTTAGTCTCTCCCTCATCATTAAGCATGAAACCACTCCACAGTAGCGAGGTCTCATCCTTTGTATCGGCTGAAGTAACGATAGTCACATTGAAACCTCGGATGTGCTCAAAGATCTCAAAATGGTCTTCCAATTCTGGAGAGAACTCGCAGAACTCCGTTTCCATGAAGAACTTTATAGTGTTTTCCCGAATTTCGGCCCGAGAGTCTAACATGGACATCACTGTCAGCATCCTAACCAAAAAGTTGTACATTTCATGTCCTCGGAGAACAGTCGGTTGAGCAAAGGCGGTGCTACTGTCCTTGTCAGCCCCGATAAATGGATTGGTTCGAGAAGACTTTCTTGCTTTAGCAAAAGGGTCACTCTTTGCCTCTTTGAACCTCTGACCGCTCAAAACCTCCATAGCCATTTTTCCAATTGGGATCTTGAGATCGGAGCCTACTTTTGGTGCTAGTTTGATCTCAAACAACCCTGGAACTTGCATGATATTGGCATGATTCTGTTTGAGCAACAGATCCTGACGTAGTACATCTTCGTAATGGAAATGGAGTGGAAGCATCATGGCTGTCCCATTTTTCTTTGGGATATTTGACCGACGGTTTGCCTTGGGTACATGCAATTCCAAGTTTCCCACTGCTTCCTCCACAGTGGATGGGGCCGCGTAATGACGAAGGCCCTGCGTGTAAACTCTGTAATTAGTTCAGAGAAAGCATTTCCACCTTATATGTGCAGAAAAAATCAAGGAAAAAAATGAATTATATGTAGGGCGCTAGAACCAAAAGGAAATAGGAAAATGCAGATTTATACAATCTGAGCCGTTTGGACAGAGAATACATCTCAATCTTAATGTGTTTTTCCAATCTGATATGATTGCAAAAGGTCAGCTAGATCATTCGGCACTCCTCCTTAGGGGGTTCATACAGTTAATAACAGCGTGCAGTAAAAGACATTGTTGTACCATTGTTCAATTAGTGATATTTGCAATGCAAGAAGACTCTATTCTAAATTGGTGTATTTGTGAGGTCATTTGGTGTTCTTTGGGCTAACTGAGAGATATAGGCTGTCTGATTTGATTCATATGAAGCTCTAAGGAATTTGTAATCCTGTGTACGGTAAACTTGTAATAAAAAAGATGCACGAAAGGATCAAGCATTAATTCTCTAGCACCCCGCCCTATGTCTCACCCATACATATGGTGATACTGCATTTTTCATAAATAAGGATACACCAATGCGCCAAGTATACATACACAACAAATGTTATGGTAGATAATGAGATGGCTAAATAAAACCGTGCGCTTTAATTTTTCAACCCTAACTAGCAGCGAATTATAAAATCCCAACTTCACCCTTCAACCTTCAGGAAGTGCTCAACTAAGAGCAGATGACCCATGCCTCTCTGCTAGTCGCAACAGCGAGAATGCAATGCAGCCTGGTGTTCAAGCTCAGATCCAGATAGAATCAAATTACTCAGGATAACTACATTTAATTTCCCCTTCACACACATTCAATTAGCAGAGTACACTAAAATCATGCCGACAAACCAATGAGGACTTCTGATTTGTTAATGTTCATTTCATCATCTGAGCTTCTGATTTGTTGAAAAAAAACAACGAATTCCCTTTGTTGCATCAGCCTAGCCTAGGTGCGCACATCCCATGAGCAAACAAACTCAATCGCCGCATTCTCGGAACTAAACTATCCCACCGCATCACTACAAACCAAATTACTTTTAAATCATCCCATTGCATCACTACAGAGTACAAACCAAATTACTCCAAAATTTGGTAGGTTTCGGGTCCCAGAATCTGAGTGAACAACGGCTAACACCGATTCCAGGATCAATCATCAATCAACGAAGAAAAAGGGCGAAATGGGAAAATGGATCGATCCAACGGAGTGAGGCGGATCGGGAGTACCGATGCCGCGGAGACCCTGGAAGCATTCTTGATTCTGGGGCGGTGCGGGGAGGAGATGGGAGAGGATGAGGACCCAGAGGAGATGAGAGCGACGGTGGAGAACGGCGGCGGGGGAGGCTGGCAGGGCTTGCTTGATTCGCGTTAGCACAGGAAGCCGAGCGGCAGGGGTTTGGAGGGGAATGGACAGACCTGAGCGGCGGCGCCGATGCTCCGGCTTCCAGAACCAGCAAGGGCGCCTGAGGGAACGGGGACGGGGAACCGGTGGCCGCACGCCGCCGCGTACGCCGCACGCCGCAGGAGGTTTCGCGCCGCCATGCCGCCGCCGCCGCTGCTCCGCGCTTCTCCCCGTGGACCTCGTGTCAGGGCGGAAGCAGGGAGGCGGCCCTTGCGTCCGGGCGGCCTCTGTGTTGTGAGCCAACTTTGGGCTATACTGGGCCGCCATCTGTGTTACAAGGCTCAGCTGCATTAGTGTTATATGTTATGATGGCCCAGCTTCATTTATTTTTTTCCTCCCGATACGGGCTGCCATCTGTGCGCGTTCTGCGGCCCAACTGTATTTGTTTTTCCGTTCTAAAAATCAAGGAAGACATACTGAAAGTGAAGTACAAAAATCACTCAAAATATTCAAAACATGCTCTTTATGCACAACTTTCTTTTTGTCATATTGGAACACGGATGAACGCATCAGACAGGAACAAATTATACACACATGCGACGGCGTGATATCACGCGTGGGGAAAGAATCAAGAATGCCGCCTTCTCGTAAAAGAAGCTGGGAACGTCCTCCTACACTAAACAACAACGGCGTCCTCGTCGAGCGCCGCCTCCGGCTCCGGCGCGGCGTCCGTCGGCACGGCTCTCTTGAACGAGAAGGACGCCTCGCCTCCGCTACCGTGCGACCGCATCGAGTGCCGCCAGTCCAGCGCCATCGCCGACGCCGACGCCGAGGCCGCCGCGGCGTCCAGGCTCTGCACCCGGTGGTTCCCCTGGAACACGGACTGCCACGAGCTCCGGGACGACGAGCTCCGCAGCTGCTGCCGCGCGGAGCTGGACCGGGATGAGCCCTGGCGGACCACGCGCAGCGGGCTCTCCAGGGCACGCAGCACGTAGCGCGCCGTCGGGCGGCGCGAGGGCTTGGCGCTCAGGCACGTCTTGGCGATGATGGCCACCGCCCACACCTCCTCCAGGTGGTCCTCGTCCACTAGGAGCAGCGGGTCTATGATGCCCGCAATGCTCGCCCTGTCGCCGCTGTTGATGTGGTTCAGCGTGTTCGACACCCATTCCTCCGAGGCAGCGTCGTTTGAACCGCTGATGCCGATGTTGCCGGTCACCAGCTCCAGCAGCACCTTACCGAAGCTGAGCACGTCGTAGGAACAAGTGGCCGGTGGACCTGTCATTTAGCAAAGGTCATAAAGGAGAGAAAAAATAGAACTTCTATCCGTGGACAAAATTTTCCCCAATTATTATTATTATAACAGAAATGTTGATTCAGTTGAACATGGATTCTTAAAGGTACTGCAGCAGCATATGTGGAAGATTTACGCACCTGATGTGTGCTTGTCGAGAGACCTGCCACAAGAAAGCGTGAGATACCAACGTCAGTCACTAACTTCAGAGGAAAACAAAAAAATGGTTTCAGACATACAAAAAGTTGGAGTTTGCTCAACTATAAACACAATAAAATCAGAAGGCAGTCAACTACAGCTAAAGAAACTAAAATTCACCGCAATATCACTAAATCTATATAGGTGTGTCCTTAACTGGGGATAGAAATGCATGCTCAGATGCCTCCAGAATTCAATCTGAAGTATAAATATGCTGACGTAAAATTTAACTACTGAACTTAAAACAAAAACAGCAAGTATAGGGCAAACAGATCACAATCATAAATTCGTAGTACATATAGCTGAATCTACAAAAGCATGCTATACTGATAGGTTAAGAAAACTATTTCTAGATTATATGTAGAATTTTCCATGATTCATTGACAAAGGTGTCACTTGTCTTGCCTTGCATTTTTAGGAGTATAATTATTTAGTGCCTGATTTAACACCACCTAGGCCCTAACATATAAAGCATCAAAATCACATATTTACTAAGTATAGTTGTTCTTGATGCAGTATGTGGAAAAAAGACAGATGGAACAAGTAGCAATCTTACTTTGACGATCTCAATATCCGAGTGAAGACATTCTGGCTTCCCCCACTTTGCTGGATGCATATGTCACTCATACTCCCAAGTCGCACTTCATATTTATCATCGAGAAGGACACTACTTGATTGTATATCTCTACAAAACAATAAAGACATGAGAACATAATAAATCAAATGTCCACATTGACATAAAGGAAAATCCAGGAAATGAGCACCATGTGTCAAATTGGAGGTAATTGTAAACTAAGAAAATTTCAACTCACCTACTGACAGGATAGCCAAGTCAAATCAAAGTGAAAAAGGTAGAAACAATTAATCAAACCGAACAGTTAGGAGGAACAAAAAGTGACTACCTCCACTTATGTCAAAGTACATTAAATAAAGATTCGTTGAATGATTGATGACATCCGCATAACACAAAGTTAAACTGTCAAATGCAAATGCAGTTCTGTGATAGAGACTGAATGCCATGGTATACTTGCTGTGGACTTTAATAAAAAGGAAACTTCATGCTGATCCAGAAGAATGATGATTTCAAGACATACAAACTAGTACTGAAATACTTTTCCCAACAAAACCAATAACACCGAAATGGCTAATCATACCAAAATGCATATTTTACATTTGTGTTGCCTGTAACCAATATACAGAGAGAGATCATATTCAATCTATAGGCCTGAGATTTTATTCGTCCATGCAAATGATCCAAAAAAAAAGACTCTGCGTGGAGATCGTACTAAAGATCATTAATGATCTCATCATATTAGATACTTCTCACATAATTATTACCTCGTTTGTGGTTTTTAACATAACTATCGCCATAATTCGCCAACAAGTTGCTGAAAAGGAAGGCATGTGGTCCTTCCATGGTTTTCTGAACTATGATCTAAGTGAGGAGACTAAATAAAACTAGGACATGAAGGACTAACATTTTGACTGATAGGTTTACCAAGCAACAACAGCATATCGTCACAGTAGTAAATGGAACAAGTAGAAGCCTGGATCACATTCACAGAGAAGTGCATACCTGTGAACCAATGGCGGGCTACATTCATCATGAAGGAAGCACATAGCCTCAGCCACGCCAGTTGCAATCTTCAGTCTAGTTATCCAATCCAGGGAGGGCAAGCCATCTGCAGTGTCCACAGGTTTCTTGTGCAATGCATTGGTTAAGTCCCCCTTTGGCATGTACTTGTAAGCCAGGAACTGCTCATCATCATTGCTCAAATGCGCGAGTAACGGAACAATCCTTTCGTGCGAGTACTTCGTATAGAAATCCAATTCACTCGCATGTCTGTTGACACCCTTTGCACCAACCTTCTTAACAATTACATGGGAGCCATTCTCCAACACACCATGGTAGATGTCCCCCGAATGCCCGTGTTTGATGAGTTTGCCGTCGCCAAAACCACCAGTGGCAAGGACCAGCTGCTCATAGGTGAACTCACCGGAAATGGCAGGTGCATTCTTGGGTCCATCATCAGCACCTGGAGACACTGCCGGTGGCAATGACATCACCGGATTGACACTGCTATCCCTCCTCCGTGAAGAGCGCGTCCCTTCCTCATTTAGTTCCACTCCCCTCCCTCCTGTTGTTCCTCTGCTTCTCCTCTTCACCAAACAGAGCAGCAGTGCAATAAAAAACAGAGCCATCAGTGTTCCGGCAGCTACAAGGACTCCAATGAGTACATTTTGGGAGATCCTTTGCTTCTTATTCGTCTCTGGTGAGGGTGAAGGTGGTGGCTCTGGCAAAGGCACAGACGAGGGCGCTGGAGCATCAACAAGGTGGACGCCTTGCTTCCTGTAAAACCCCTCACAATCCGCGCGGCTGCGCTGACCCGGCACACCGTAGAAGCAATTCGTCGTGGCAAGCACTCTTGTGTCAGACCCGTTCCAAGCTCCATCCAAGTAGTTGCTGGACACGTCGACGACCTGAAACCTTCTCCTGAGAGCCCCAATGGCATCGGCGGCGACGCCATACAGAGAATTCCCGGAGACGTTAAACACGGACAAGGAAGCGTTGGCTGCGTCGCCGGCGCCGAGGGAAACAGAGACGGAGACGTTGGGCAGCGCTCCGGTGAGGTTGTTGCGGGAGAGGTCGAGCACGCGGAGACCCGCGACGGAGAGCAGCGCGGCCGGGATGTTGCCCGTGAGGCTGTTCCTGGACAGGAGCAGCGCCGTGAGGTTCCCGGAGGCGCCGAGATCGGGCGGCAGCGTGCCATTGACGGCGGCGGAGGTGAGGTCGAGCACGGCGAGCGGCGCGGGCAGGCCGGCGCCGAACCACGGCGGATCTCCCCGGGAGCGCGAACCCGGAGGCGTTGAAGCGGGCGAGCGCGGTGAGGTTGCGCAGCCCCTCGAGCGCGACGCGCGGGGGCAGCGCGGTGGCCAGGCGCGTGCGGCGGAGACCCGCGACCGTGACGCCCACGACGCGGCCCGCGGCGCAGTCCACGCCCGCCCACCGCGCGCACGGGTCGGCCTTCAGCGGCCAGTCCCGCGCGCGCAGCCCCAGCGAGGCCCGCAGGCTGTACAGAGCCGCCAGGTCCGTCCGCGACGCCAGCGGCTGCGTCTGCGCCTGCGCCACGGCCGCAGACACCGCTGCCGCCAGGAGCAGCAGCCACCGCAGCAGCAGCAGCGCCATGGCGAGCGGCCGGCGCGCGGCAGCTGGGATCGCGTCTGTTGCTGTTAGCAGGCCGCGGGCGACGGCGACGGCCGCGGCGCTGCCATGTGGATGTAGGCGGGCGGGCGGGCGGGGCGGTGACGCGCGCGAGGTGCTCGCGGAAATGCGTGGGCTCGCGGGGGGTTGACCAACCCACGAGAGCACGACGGGGAAGGGCTAGGGCGGCAACGCAAGCAAAGCAAAGCAACGCAGGAGGTGGTAGCGCATTGGTCCGTGTGCGTGGGCGAGTAAACAATGGGAGAGGCGGGGGTGGGTGGGGCCCACGCCCCAGCCGTCGCGGCCGCTTTCACGTGGGCCCGCCTTGCCTCACGGGCATCGGCGCGGCCGCGCGTCAATGCGCCCGTGCCTGCAGCGCCGTGCACCGGTGACTGGTGGTGGTGGGCAGACGGCCGGCGAGTCGACTCGACGACGCGGCTTCGCAGGAAGTCCAGAGGGGAGTGCGGGGCCCGCGTAGGCAGCCCGGAGGCGGCGGCTCGGCTCGGGGT